GTGGGAAAGGGGGGCTGGAAGCACTGGGGACCCCCCAAACCTCTCCAAGCCCCTCTGGGGACCCCCTAAATCCTCCATGGGGACCCTCCAAACCTCTCCAAGCCCCTCTGGGGATCCCTAAACCCCCCCTGAACTCCCCCTTCACCCCCACATCGGGCACCTCCACCCGCTCAAACACAAAATTCCCATTCCGGGGGCTGGGAAAAAGGGGTCTGGAAGCTCCAGGGACCCCCAAACCTCCCCAAGCCCCTCTGGGGCCTCCCAAACCCCCTTGAGCCCCCTCTTCACCCCCACATTCAGCATCTCCACCCTGTTGCACACACAAGTCCCGGCCCAGGGGGATCTGGAAAAAGGGTCTGGGACCCCAACGCCCCCCCCACAGAGGTCTGGAAAAAGGGTCTGGGACCCCCAGGACCTCCCAAATCTTCCCAAGTCCCTCTGGGGATCCCCAAAACCCTCCGTGGGGACCCTCCAAACCGCCCCAAGCCCCTCTGGGGTCTCCCAAACCCCCCTGAGTCTCTCCTTCAGCCCCACATCGTTCATCTCCGCCCCATCACACGCACAACTCCCAACCCCGGGTGGGGTCTGGAAAAAGGGTCTGAGACCCCAGAGACCCCCCAAAATCTCCCCAAGCCCCTCTGGGGACCCCTAATCCCCCCTGAACTCCCTCTTCACCCCCATCTGGGGCCTCCCAAACCCCTCTTCACCCCCCCTTCACCCCCTCATCGTTCATCTCCACCCCATCACACGCACAACTCCCATCCCACAGAGGTCTGGAAAAAGGGTCTGGGACCCCCGAGACGCCCCCAAAAACCCCCCCAGGAGCCCCCCCCGGACCTGGTGCACGACGTAGATGCCGTAGTGGAGCTGCTGGCGCTGCAGGAAGGGGTGCAGGTAGTAGAGGAGGTGGCCCAGGTGGCTCTCCCGGTTGCGGTGGGGGACGATGACGGCCGTGCGGGACCGGGCCTCGCACAGGGGGGGTCGGTACCGACCCCCCGGCCCCACCCCCGGGTTCTTGGCCTGGATGAGCTCCAGCGATGGCACCCGGGCGAAGGTCACCGTCAGGGGACCCACTGCAGGGGGATTTGGGGGAGTAAAGGGGGGCACATGAGGCTGGGGGGATAAAGGACCCCAAATTGGGGTTGCCCCCCCCAGCCTCATCACTCAGTCTCAAAGCAGGGGGGCCTGGAGGTGTCCCCCTCACCCAATCCTAAACCAGGGGGTTTGGGGAGTGTATTCCCCCCATCTCGAAGTGGAGGGCCCTGGGGGTTTGTCCCCACCTCATCCCAAATCGAGGGGGACCCCCAGGAATCCCCAAACTGGGGGTTCTTGGGGTGTGACCCTCTCCAGTCCCAAATCAGGGGAGCCCTGGGATTTGTCCCCGCCAAACCCAAACCAGGGGGTCCTGGGGGTGTGTCCCTCCCCCAATCCTAAACCAGGGGGGTTTTGGGAGTGTCTTCCCCCCCAATCTCAAAGCAGAGGGTCCTAGAGATACCCCAATTTGAGGGGGACCCCCAGGAGTCTGTCCCCCAGGTATGTCCCCCCCCCCAGCCCCAAATCAGGGGAGCCCTGGGATTTGTCCCCTCTGTCCCAAACTGGGGTGTCCTAGGGGTGTGTGTCCCCCTGTCCCAAACTGAGGGGGTTTTGGGAGTGTCTTCCTCCCCCATCTCAAAGTGGGGGGACCCAGGATTTGTCCCCCCCAGTTCCAAACCGGGGGGTCCTGGAGGTGTGTCCCCCCCAATCCCAAACTGGGTGATCCTGGGCTTGTGTCCCCCCCCACCAATCCCAAACTGGGTGGTCCTGGGGGTGTGTCCCCCTCTCAATCCCAAACTGGGGGGTCCTGGGAGTGTGTTCCTGCCCCAATCCCAAACTGGGGGGTCCTGGAGGTGTGTGTCCCCCCCCCAGTCCCAAACCAGGGGGTTTGGGGAGTGTTTTCTCCCCCATCTCAAAGTGGAGGGGTCCAGGAGTACCCCAAATCATGGGGGACCCCCAGGAGTCCCCAAATTGGGAGTTCTTGGGGTGTGACCCTCCCCAGTCCCAAATCGGGGGAGCCCCAGGATTTGTCCTCCCCCAATCCCAAACTTAGGGGTCCTGGGTGTGTGTCCCACCCCATCCCAAACTGGGGACCCCCAGGCTGTGTCCCCCCCACCCCAACCCCTGCTCAAACCCTCCATTTCTCCCCGTGGGGATCCCCCAAACACCCCGAAACCTCCCAATTCCCCCCCAAACCCCCGTTTCCCCCCAAGACCCCGTATTTTTCCCTTCGGGAATCCCACACCCCCAAACTCCCCGTTTCCCCCCCAAACCCCCCATTTCCCCACCCAAACCCCTCTTTTCCCCCCATTTCCCCCCCCAAACCCCTCTTTCCCCTCCATTTCCCCCTCATTTTGCCCCCCAATTCCCCTCGTTCCCCCCCTCACCGAGGAAGGGCGATCTCTCGGGGCAGTACGGGAGGGGTCTGGCGGGGTTTGGCGGCGGGGGCCGGGGGGGTAGGAGCCGGCTCAGGTTCTCGTAGACGTCGCGGGTGCGGGAATAATCGAAGCTGGGCCCGGCCCCGCGGCCGAAAAGCGCCGTGAGGTTGCGAAACCCGCCGAGCGAGAAGTAGGCGACGAAGGCGAACTGGCAGCCGACCAGCAGCGCCAGCGAGCACGGCCGCTCCAGCAGCCGCCGCAGCATCGCCTCACCGGGGGGGAAAACCTCACCGGGACGCGGCGGCGGCGCCGGGCCGGGACGCGAGGGCAGCGGGAGGCATCGCGGGGGCAGCGCGGGGCAGCGCCGGGCACGGCGGAGGCATGGCGGGGCTGCGGGAGGGCAGGGGAGAGGGGCGGTGAGGGGCGGGAGGGAGAGGGGCAGGGACGGCCGGGAGCGGCTCAGACACCGCCGGGATCACCGGGACCACCGGGACCTGCCCACCTCTGGACCGGCTCAGGCACCGCCAGGACCACCGGGATCCCCCCCGCCCTCGGGACCGGGTCAGACACCCCCACCGGGACCTGCCCACCCCTGGACCGGCTCAGACACCATCGGTACCGGGACCTGCCCACTACCGGGACCTGCCTGGCCCCGGGACCGGCTCAGACACCGCCGGGACCACCGGGACCGGTACCAGTTCAGACACCGCCGGTACTCCCAGTAACGGCACCTGCGCGCCCCCCGGTAACGATACCTGTCCACCCCCTGTCCCTCCCGGCCCCGGTACCTGCCCGGTCCCAGCTCAGCCCCCCCAGCCCCGGTCCCGGTCGTGGTCCCGGCCCAGCCCCTGTTCAGTCCTAAGTCCCAGTTCCGGCCCCACCCTTGTCCCGTTCCCAATCACGCTCCCAGTCCCGATCCCGCTCCCAGTCCCAGCCCCGCTCCCGTTCCAGCTCCCGATCCCGTTCCCGGTCCGTGCCTGGGCCCGGCTCAGCCCCTCCCGGCCGCCGCCATCTTGGAGCGAAGGGCGCGGTGTGATGACGTCACGGAGCGAGCGCGTGGCGGGGTCAGGGCCGGGCCGCACCGGGTGAGGGGACAACAGCGGCCCGGGGGGGGACACCGGGGGATCCCCTCGGGGAGCCGAGAGGGCCGCGGGAAGCGCCGGTGACTCCCGGGCGGGGCGCGGGGTCCCGGTAGGACCCGGGAGAGCCTCTGGAGGTGACGAGGGGCGTGTTCTGGGATGGCCACGACCACGTAGGGGCGTGGCCACAGCAAGCGCCGTTGCCGCGGCAACCGCGCGCGCCCCGCCCCCTCCCCGGGGCTGCCCCGCCCTTCGTCATACGTCACGGCGAAAGCGCGCTGTGATTGGGCGCAAGGCCAGAAGCGGAGCGTGGTGGGCGGGGCGAGCGCACGTGTGTCCCCCCGGTCACGTGTGTCCCGTCCGGGAGGTCACGTGTCCCCAAAATATCCCCCTCAAACACGAGTGTCCCATCCCGGGGTCCCCAAAGGACCCCCCCCAACATCCCTCCCCTTCCCCCCACATCGCACCCACCGTTCCATAAATATCTTTAATTAATGGCACTGCCATAAATTACAGCTCTGGGGGGTGTGGGGCGTGGACAGGGGGGTCCCTTGGTCCTGCCAGGGGGTCTCCCAAATCAAGGGGTGATCAATGAACACCCAAACTGAGGGGTGATCAATGAACACCCAAACTGAGGGGTGACAGCTGTCCCCATGTCCTCTGTGTCCCTCCCT